GAAATAAAAGAATAAAGGCAACTAAGTCAACATGCAGTGTGAGACTTTAGGAGAGAAAAACTTAACTTGCGCTGCCCCTAGAGAAGAATTCCTACCGAGATCACATGACAGCATTGTGTGTGAAAACACCTCAAATCAAGGAAACAAATCTGACTGCAATACTAAAACTATTTTTTTTTAAAGACAGTAACAGCACACCACTAAAATCATAATGTAACAAACTAAGAGTGGCGAGCTGGAGCTTTCCCCTGACTTTAAAGACCAAGTCTCGCACAGAAATATAGATTCCTATAGATTTCCGAGGAAAAAGACTGAAGCGTGGAATTAGAAAAAACAAACAAACAACAACCCTAAACAAGAGCTGAAAGACTCCAACCTGACCACAAAACTGTATAACCTGCCAAAGGGGGTGTTGTGTAGTTCACTGACAGCACAGGGTGGCTAAACTTTCTATTTTGACTAACTTTATTTTACAGCTGTTATGAACCTAAAAGAACTGAGCAATCCACTCAAGTTAATCCACTCTATATGTAAGCTATACTACATGTAAACTCATTTTATTCCAACCTCCAACTTGCCGCGCTCTATCAGACATTTACACTGAGCTCATTGGCATATTGACACCATTTTTAGGAGGCGATCGCCGAGACCAGGAGGTCTCCATCCTTACTGGAGGAGGCCTCCCGCTTTACACCTTTGATTGCATAACCAGCGCTTAGAAGAGGAAGGGGGAAAAGAGGAGCTTCAGTCCCAACCAGAGCCCGAAGGATAGGAGAGATAAATAGCTTGATCTCTGGTACCTAAAGAGGAAAGTGACGACAATAATAAGGAGCCTTTTTGTTATGAGGCAGAACAGCAACGCAAAATACCAGCAGGTGAAATTGAAATATCAGGTAAGGCAAAATGGTCAAATAGGGCCATAAAGAGTGTAAGCGCATAGATAATATAAGACAGCAACGATCAACTACAAAATAATTACATGGGAGGACATAACACCTTATCATAAAGTCCAAACTGACTCTGTAGAGTGCAGCAGAATACAGAGCAATTACAAAAAATATGTTCTGCTCGGCTTCCTTTTACCTTAGTTAAGTACCTGTCAGGCAATAAAAACTATTTCAATCATCCCATGGGGCACATTTTGACTTTTATTCCCACCAGATTCTCTTTCTGAACAGTAACAAACCCTCATCTCACAGGACTGCCCTCAGAAATGAATCTCACCATCCATCTTACACACGACCACTTAGCAGATCAGCAAAAAAGAAGTGGTCCACACCCTGTTTTCGTGTAATGGCAACGCAGTCTAAGACAACGTTAAATACATTTAAAAAAAACACACAAATTGTTGCCTATATCCTGTTGGTTGACGTTGCGTTTTACTTCATGAACACGTATCATCATTATAGAATATAACTGTACTGAAGGGGACCCTCAAAGGACCGTCAAAGGTTAATGTGAGAGGACACCTTAGTACCCAAAAGGCAGCACAGTCAAACTTTGGAGCATTAACAACGACGTGAGGCCAATTCTAAACAGGATAAAACGACAACAGGAGGTTTCCTGCGATAACGGCGGTGCTGTGGGGTTAACGGTAAAGGCGATAGCGGCTAACGGCTGGAACAGAAAGTTGAGAAACTTGTTCGCAGCCTGAAGTTGTTTCGTTCCCCCTAAATCTCTCGCCTTTTTTCTCGGCCTCGGGCTCGCTCTCTGCGGCTCGCAATGCTCAGAAGTGTAACCGAAAACCGGCCGGGACGCGAACCAGCGGACGGGTGCGAGCCGTGGCGCGGGGGTCCAAAAGTTTGATAGAAACTTGACGAAGTTGCTCGCGCGAGTCTCCGCCTCGCCGCGACACACGCAAACTCACATAGCGGGCCAGTTCCCGGCTCCCCGAAGCGGCCCCACCACGTCAGCAGCGGAGAAATGCGAGCCAAAGACCGCTAGGAACAAACTGGAGACGAGACACTTACGCGGGCGTGAGGCGTAGATGCGCCCGCTGGCCACCGGGTCTTTCTTCGTATCTTTGTGAAGCTGCTGCGCTGAAGATGGCATCATGATGCAGCCGCGAAGCCCCGCCCACACAAGAAGGGGCGTGGCCAGAGACGGAGTTCTTCTTCGTTCATCATAATAATCATCGGTATTTTGTTTATTATTCATACGTTGTGATTTATTCATATGTTTTTTTGACCAGCGCAGTCTTAGCTGTTGCTTCGACCAGTTTTCTTTGTTTTGAAATAGGTTTAACGTGTGTTGCAAAACTTCAAGAAAAAGAGGAAAAAATGAGTCTGGCGGTTTTTTTCCGTTTCTCTTCGGTTGATGCGTCGACGTTTGCGTAACTGCTTGTTACACACGTTGTTTGGCAAGATGAAATCTGCGCAATCTGTTACAACATGAAACAAAAAGTATCACTTTCCAATATCAGCAATTGTTTCAGGGGTCTTAAATGTCGTGAAGGATTTAGTTTATATACATTGTGCATCTTTTCTCTTTCATTGTCGTTCTTCCTTTGCTACAAGATCAAGGTTACTTCAGTGTATTCTCAAGTGACTGAAACATGTGTTTAACCATCACTGTGATAGTTAATGAAGTATTTAACTTATTTAATTCATTCTTTACTTAGTTTAAAGAAACTGACTAAACTTTATTGGCACTTGGAGTGATAATTGAGAAGTGGTTGGATTTGGGAATAATATTTTTATTTTTAAGTGAGGCTCTGTGGTGCAATGGACAGCACATTGGGCTTCTAAGAAAGCTCAAACATGCAGGCAGGGACATTCATATTTTTAACTGACATATTTTTAGAATGAATTTCACTTCCACAAAAAAATATATGTCTTTCTTGGTGTTTACTTCAAGGTCGATTTAAATTCTACTGCCAACGATACATTCATGTCAAGATAAAAGTTATTCATTCTAACTGATTCTGAAATTAGGTTGCATAATGCCTGTAAGAAAACAGATGATTTCCTCCCTGATCTCAAAGATGTGTAGAAGATTAAAAAGCAGTATCACACGGTTCAGGATATCCTAAAGATTATCATCCCAGAAGGAGGAATGCACCATAGCACATAATCTCACATAATCCCATACAATGCCATGCAGATATAAACAATGTAAAGAAGATTGAACAGCAATTTGCTACTATGCTATTAATAATTTGCAGAGTTGAAAACAGGAACCAGGTGGTTAACGCATTCCTGAAATAGATCAAGAGAAGCAGTGAAAAAGGTTTTTCCAATTCGTCGAAAACTGATTCCTACCATCAGTTCAATGCAGGTGTCACAGTTGGGGGGCATAAGTGGGAAAGGATCCAAGTGCAGGGCCAAAAAAAACGAGGAACACGGAGCTTTGAACTAACAAAGGTTTATTTATCAAACAAAAGCAGCGGTAATGCTGGATAAAAATGCTAAACTAAACCAAAGGAAAAAAGAACTCTAATCCTCAAACTATAACAGAAACACAAAGACCTGAAATGGGACAAGGAAGGAATGAGGACCAGACAGAAATGTTCAGCTTCCTCATCAAGCTGAAAGTGAGTGGGGTTTCTGTTTGACAACATACTTTTCCTACAGTTTCCTACCAACTAATTCAATTCCCCAAACCCACTCAATCCTATCCCATGGGCACTCCATGTACCTCCATTTGGTGTTCAGATCTCTGGGGAAAGATACGATATGGTGAGCAGACCATCAGGTTTTGAACGGCATGGAGGGAAAGCATTCCCAGGACTGATCTAAAAGTAACATCTGTGTACTGTCAGACAGCATGGAGAGTCATGATTGTTAGCTTAAGTCACAACACATTTTTCCAATTGACATGAGCAGATGACACAGACACAGACCAGGTCTAAACCCAAGGATAGTGATAAATGAATAATTAAGATCATCCATCCTTTTTCTATGCCGTTTATTCCCAGTGGGGTCCCTGGAGCCTATCCCAGCTGACAACCGGCGATAGGAGGGGCACATCCTGGACAGGTTATTAAGTATATGAGTGAAAGTTATTACCTACAAGGCGTCACCGACAAAAGCCTGAAGGCAAGAACTGCAACCCAGTATCAGTGTCAGCATATGTTGGTCTATAGATGTCAATCTAGGACTGGTATAACATGAACAGGACACTACTTTTTAATTTTATCATCAACTATTCGGAATAAATAAATGAATGAGTTATAATACAATTCTCCATAGGGTTTAGTGCCATTTCTGTGAAATGACATTGAAGTAAATACTACTAAAGATTAAAGTGAAGTAAAATATCCCATAAGACTAAATTCATATGCCTGACTATTTCTGGACTATCTCTAAAAGTTTTCGTAATAATTGTTTTACTTTTAAATCCCTCTCAATCTCCATTCATTCAATTGTTTGGTCTAATCTATGGTTCCATTCAATCAAACTTAATCTTTCCAGGCAGTGCAAGGCTGTGTTTGACAGGTTTTTCCTTTTTTTTTTCAATATCCTGTGCCCTAAACAGCATTTATTCACATTCTTCCCCTACCAAAGCTGAGAAAGAACAGTTTTGCCTGCCGGGTCTAGCACTGTGTCCAATCATGTTGCTGCATGGGAAGAATTATTCCTCAGTGGTGTTGAAGGATGCAGAGTGAGGTGAAAGGAAAGCTGATACCGTCCTGCGATGAGCTGGGAACAGCTCTCTCACTGTGCGAGACCTGTGAAAAACCTCACTGTCTCTGAAAACAAGGCACAGAGCTTTGATGTGGTCGAGGAATAAAAAAGAAAAAAAAACGATGGAAAGAATTATGACTCATAAAGGCTGTTTGTCATCCTGTGTGCTTTCCTGGTCCGTATCACGCAATATCAATTTACAGTTAGTCCTCCTATCAATTTACAATAAGTCCTCCCTTAACTGTTTGAAAAGGTTTGTAGTTATCTAAAAGATGATGTCATCGCACTTATCATCATCTCAATCATATTTTGTCAAGAATGTCCTCTGTGGCTGTTTCTTCAGTGTGACAGGAAAAAGACCAAAGGATCCAAGATAGCTTCAGAATGTACTTATTTTATTTTTTTGAAGTAACAGCAGAAGATTCCGGGAGTAATGAGCTAACATATTTGTGAGTCAAAGCTGTGTGTAATGCTACAGGTTTCCAAAGCCCCAGAGAGAAGGCCTAGCCTGAGATAAGCCGTCACCAGGCTTCCCACTTCCTCTGATTTCTGGATCCCTGCAGGAAAATGATTAGGATGTTTCGTCGGATGCAAACATGGGAGCGGGATACACCCAGAAAGCTCTAAATGCTTAACTTTTCTGACCTAAATTGTTTAAATTGTTTAAATTACAATAAACCTCATTCACTGAGCCTTGCCGGAAACTGGTTTGAGTCGCCCTGGATAGGCCCCCCACAAACTCTGAAAACCCCCCGGTATTAATGTGTTTTTTGGTGTGGTTAAAGGGACTTTCTACTTTATAACGGATTAGCACATTCCAGCATTAGTTTAAGATACAAGGCACCGACAGCTTAGCTGTGTTCATGATAATATTTGGTATCAGAGCATTAAATGTTCCACTAACAACATGTATATTGTGTATAGGATGATGTATAATATACTATTTGATTCAATGAAAATGGAACTTCTCAAAAGCAAAGAACAAATCAGCTTACATTATGCAATGTCATAGAACCGATAATAACCAACATTTAACAGGAACAAACAAACTAAAATGAATTAAAAACACACACACATGGCAGCTTAAAAACTGACACCAGAGATGATAAAGCTAAAATAGGTTTTTCCCCACACACACAGAGGCTGTAAACATCTGATCGGACAACAGAGCGTCCTACGCAGCCGCTGGGCAACAGAATAAAGAGGGACGTCAGGAGCTCCGGGAAATTCTCATCAGAAACATGACGGATGGCGCCATTTTCTACATTCATGCCTTTCTGAGTGGATCAGTGTGCATGTAGTTATTTATTGATAATAATTCTCTATATAAACAGATATGATTCCTTAAAGACAATTATGTCCAATCACATTTCAGTTTACTTTTATCTGTGGTTTACATATGGTCAATTCTGTGTTAAAATATAATGCCAAATCCTGAAGTTTTCTCATGAGTTTTAAAACAAGTGATGCCCTGCTGGCTACGTCCCTTTTTACAGGCTGTCACATGCGGATTTCCTGTGTGGTCTCCTACATGAAGGTAAAAAGCATCACTATTAGTGCTTAGCAACAATTGTGGTTTCATTGATAAAAAAAAAATCCACAGTGAAATATACATATGTGGCAGATTTACAAAGAGAACATCTCAGATGCATATGCAAGGCCATTAAAAAAAGACCAAATTTAGCACTTTAAGGAGAAAGTAAACTTTAGAACAGATATAGTTTACAATCAGCTGTGGGTAAATGAAGGAACACACATTATTAACACTCTAGATCTAAAGATAACTTTCAGGGCTTATTTCCTTGAATACAGGAGGTAGGAGGTACTTAGTTGTACTTAAAAAAAAGGGAACCTACTTGTGACTAAGGCCTTAAACTGGTCTCATAATAGTCCTGTGAACAGTCATTTTGTCATAGTTACAAAATAATCTCATGAATCAAATCAATTTGAATTGTATTTGTGAAATAATATCAAAAGTGTAAATGAAAGTCAGAAAATCTCAATTTATATCCAGGAAACCAGGGAAACTGGATTAAATTGTTTTTGCTGCTAACGGTCACTTTTTATTCCTTTGCTTGGTCTGGTTTTAAAGTTGCAGAGATCATGAGGACAACTGCTAAGAGATGATCACATTGTTGCTGTACATAGAAAAATAAGGCAGCGAGAGCACGATGGTGCCATGATAGTGGTAGGTTTTTTCAGTAAAGTGTCATGCAAGATAATAAAAAATACTTTTTAAGTTCCCCTGGTGTCCACAGAAAGGCAAAAACTGACTCTTCTATAGCTCTACCTAAGAATGGATTTAATTCTAATTTTGAGTTAATCAAAAACTGAACAGAGATAATGAGAAATATTTCTGGGCAGTCATTGAAAGAACAGATATGAATTTTTTTTTTATCCTGTCAGATAAGGTCACAGTAAACAATCTGTTTCTGTGTACAGTAACTTGATATCTGCATTACAAATATACGGACAGCGACCCATGTGCCCTGTATGGCTAATAAGCGAATTCCAAGGCACATATTTGCACTTTAAGCAGCCCTGAACGGTAACCTTGTGTTCCCCATTAGCACATTGACAAGATACAAGGGTACAACGGTAATACCACCCTTCAACAAACACATGAGGGACTGCATGTGTTTACTGAGAGCTTCAGAAGTGAGCTGGATGAGGATGAGGTGGAAACGAGACTGGGGTTGTTTTGGTTTGATCTGTGTGTTCACATGATGGCGCAGCAGCGGCACGTCTCCGGATAGTCGTCGGCACGGACTTTGTGTTCATTCCCGAAAACAAAGTAGACGTGAGCGTCGCCCTTCCACTTGTAGTTTACCTTAGTGATTGGGATCAACTCGACCGTCTGCCTCTGAGAGACACAGAAACGCATTCGTGTTAATGGCTTACGGTGCACTTTTTCTGAAAACCCGTTTTTCGTGCATTTCCAAAAGCCACAACCGACAGGTTCTGCTAGCTTAACAGAGAAACAGTAAGCAAAAGGAAAAATCAATGTCTCTATCTTTGACTTGCCTATGGAATGGGGGGTATGAAAATGTATTTTTTTATTACTGGCGGAACAGAATAAGAAAGAAATTAATTAAGCTAAGTACAGGCTTTGTAGTTAATCAATCTGAAACAAGGAAAGAATAAGGCTGATTTATTGGCTAAGTGCATGGGAGGAATTCAGTTTATCTTAATTTGGGGGTGAAGCACAATCTGTCAACGTTTAGAGGCCACGGATATTTCTTCTGTGGCACTGTTGCATAATTGTGGTGATCTGAAGGGGGCCTGTGTCATCTGTTGTTTTGAAAGAAGTGTTATGCCCAATAAGCCGAGCAAGGCGGTCCCATCGTCCATCTCTGGTTGCCCAACTTCCCTTTGGGATGACTACTCAATACGTCCCTCAACATTGTATTCGTGGCTGACAAATTAAGTTAAGATGCATTATCGCCACCTATTGGGCTGCATCAGCGTTCTGCCAGAAATTAGAGACTTGAGACAAAATGTTTTTTTCAGGCATTATTTTCTCTGTAATGAATCATTGTTGACACTATGGAATTGTTCACTGAGTCTGGTCCATTTTTTGTACCACAACTTTAGTGTTTATGTTTAATCAAAATGAATGTTACATTCCAGGTCATTATATAATTTCCTTTAGGGTGAGACAAAAGATGAGATACCTGCTGAAGGATCCGGGAGGTTTGAGCATATTTGGATTGATGCTCACTGATCAGACGCTCAGAGACCGAAGAGATTTCAGGGTTCGGGAACCCGACCAGAGGGAAGACCTGGGAGGAGACAGATACAAACTCCAGCATGAAGCTCTTTGGTCTGACTCCTTCAGCTTATTTTTTTTTTCACTCATGGAGTGTGTGTGTGTGTGTGTACCTGTAATTGGTTGTTCTTGAACAGCTCCTTGCCGCTAACTGATTGCAGTTTTTCAACAGCCAGGCCAATTTTCTGCTCCACCACGTGGTCTTCCAGATGGTTGGTCCTAAAGTTACAGACAAATTAAGAAAGAAAACATTAAATTAACTTTGTAAATAATGACTGGAACATCTTGCCAGTCCTCTGGAATCATCTCAGAGTGTCTTCTATGCATTCACTGAGACTCAAAATAATTGAAAATAGTTTTTAGGTACAACGTTGCTTTCTTGATTGGCCAAAATGACTAATTAACTATAACTAATATTAATTTGTCATTTCCACAAGATAATTTGGAGTCTCATAAAAAATTCTATAAATGTTTCAAGGACCCAACCAAAAAAAACAACATAATCAAGAATAATTTACACGTATTTGACCGCCCTAAGAAACAGTCGTCTGGATAATTGAACCACAGAAGACTGTCAGTAATATCGTGCTGAACCCAGATCTGAAGGACCACACAAATTTCCTGGGGCCCCCTTCAATAGCCCGTTGAACCGTAAAGCTCTTTAAGTTCCACGGAACCATTTCAAAGGCCTGACCAAAGTCCCTCAACCTTGTACAACCTACTTAAGGGTAAGCCGAAACTCTTCGGAAACCCCAGAACAACAACAAAAAAAAAAACTCAAATGCATAAAACTCCAAAAGCCCAAAACATCCAGGTAATTCGCATCCTGGTGACACGATACAGGAGTGGCATTGTAGGATAACTCACCACTCTACTTTGAGATTGATGTATGCCAGCAGCTGTTTTTTCCCCTCACAGGTCTCGCACTTTGTGCTTCCACGAGCATCACATTCTGAACACCTACACACACAAACGCACAGAGTGTGACACAAGTCTACCGGCCTGAAATGGCCTGGTTCGAATCATCAGAATCGGGATAAAAATGACGTTAGGATCATGCTGCGACTCCCTCTGATGGTGCATTCGGGGACAATCTGACGTGTTAACATCACAACATATCAGGCTAAAATGTTAAAAAAGCCAAATTCACCACTCAACACTTAAAGACTTTTAAAGCACGTCTCAGTTAGCAACAGAGATGATTAACATAATCTCGTCCCTCAAACTTTTAAGAAGTTGTTTGGATGTGAAAAGCAAAACCAGAATGAAAAATATAAAACTTTTTATAAAACTTTTTAACCTTTGTCCTCTGTCAAATATGACAAATAACATCTCTCTATGTTGGTTTATTATTTTTATCATGTTTGTTTTGGCCTAACAAACACACCATATTTCCATCCCAAATGATAAGGAGACAGAGACTCATTATTATTTATTACCATTTATTACCTGTCTTTCCCAGTACCATTACACTCGGAGCAGCTTTCCTCGTTTTTCGTCCCAGCGCCATTACACATGAAGCACGGCTTCTACAAACAAAAAGACAGCACATTCTTCGTTGAACATTTCCTCTATGATAATCGACAACATTTTAATATTTGTACAATCTGAATTTTTTCTCAGTCGGTTTACTGTCACAGATGCATGAGTTTGCTTACATTTCCACTTCCTTGGCACTTTTTGCACTCTATTGTCCCTTTAGCGTGACAGCTGTGGCATTCCTACACACACAGACACACGCAAAAAAACACACACACACACACACACACACACACACACACACACATACACACACAGAGGAGTTAAAAATAAAATCTATGGCAAACACACGGGCTCTCTGCGTAATTGACAGCTGTGTGTTAACATCAAATATAGCTCACGCTCACATTTAACCTCTGTTCTGAACTGTGACTCTTAGCGGGTCACCATGGCAGCAACACAAATTATATGCAGTGTCAGCAGCCAACAGTCTCAGGATGTCATAAAAATCCCAGGATAGAGATTCCAGTAATCTCCCAAAGGGGACCAGGGAAAGCCTTTCTGAGCCTTACTGAACCCTCTCAAAAGGTTCTGGAGGAATCCCAGAGAGGTCTTCCGAGGGCTTTAATAATCTGTTTCATACTTAAAAAACCCCCGGTAATCCCTCAGACTACTCATTTTGGTTACCAAGATGAGGTCCTTATCTAAAGTAATGAAAGGAGAACAATCGTTGAAATTTGAATGGTCTTCCACTTTTCAAAGCTTCATTTACAAAATGAAGTTAAATCTTAAATAAACTTCAAAATGAACCTTGAAGCTGACGTTTATTCTGACTGGATTCACAACTCTCTCATGAAGCTTAAATGTACTGTTGGCTTCTGCAACACTGCCGAAACATGGAGATTTCTAACTATCGTACACCGAGTCAAACCCATACTGTTTATTATCGTCTTCGTAAATAACCTTGACGGTGGAGGTGTAGGGAACGCGGACTTCCGCCTTGTGATCGGTGAAGAGCTTTGGCGGAGGGACCTCCACCTGCCAGGGTTGCGGGGCGGGCTGGATGTAGAAGTCAGGCGCCTCCCCTGATATGCACGCAAACAATCACAGGATTTCTTAATTATTTCAAACTGTTCCACCATCCTCTGCCCTTTCGTGTCGTCTGTAAACTCCAACTGAAACACGACTGACAGCCTTTTCCTAATGACGGCAGACATGAGCTAACTTCGGGGGCATGTTCACCTTCGTGAGGTTTGTGGGCCCACTCGGTCAACCTGGACTCAGTAAACGTCTCCAAACGATACTGAAGAGAAAAAAACACACCGTAAAAAATACATTCTTCAATGGGTTTGCTAAATAATGCTAATGCTAAATAGATTGAAACATGTTTCATGAATCAAATTGTTTTTAAGCCATTTTTGGTCACAGTGTCTGATGTAAATGAGATTTATTTAGGGACTATTTCTTCTGTTTCTTCATTTATATGTTCTTTTAGCTTTTTTTGAGCTGGGATGAGGAAAAATCGTATTTTATTCTGCACTAGAAAAATCACCCTGAATGTGTTGAAGGGCTCCATGCTTGTGATGTCGCTCTTCTCTGCCGCATCCGAGCTGTAGCAGCATTTAGATGACACAAAGTCCACGAACGCCTCGCGGGCCTCGTCCTCCTGCAGTGTGGGGATGCTGGAAGACACACACAGTCGCAGATCACGTCGAACCACGCTCGTCACGTTAAACCGGGTCCGTCACAGAGGAACCGCTCAGAGACAGAGATGGGCTTCGGTCTTACTTCCAGTCACTGGGTTGAGGGCCGGGCTGGGGCGGGGCGACGGGCGCTGAGGGCGCGGGGGGGGGCAGGTAACCTGCAACGCGGATGATAAGTTTTTGGGGTTCGAATCAGCACTCGTTTCTCAGCCGACCCGAGCTGGGCTTTTCTCACCTCCGCCTGAAGCAATGCCCTCGTAGCCGGGTACGCTGCCGAACGTGTTGGCTGGGGGGGCGGTGAGGGGCGGGTACACGGCTGGAATAAACAACAAACAGTCAGCCGGGGTCTGTCCCAGAGCTCACCAGATAAAAGGCTTGTTAAATCTGAAGGACATCGATAAAATGTGACAAAATAAGAGGGTTTACAACCAATAGGCTGAACTCAAATGATTAAAACAGGCATCAAACAAGTGAAATCTGTCTTTTTTTTCTTTTTTCTGCCTAAACCTGAATAGGCATGTGCCCCCCCCCCCCTCCCCCCCCCCCGCCAACAAGGGAGGCTGGACAACTCCACTCAATTTGTGATTTTATTGCTGTTGCTGGTTCTTCCTTCACATTTTGAGACACAGTTTGTTATAGGTTGATAACTTTAAACAACACAAAATTATTGGATTCACATCCTTGGCTCTGCAATCAAATTCAGTCGTCTTGATAATTCTTAGCTGTTTTTATTTGACTTAAACCCATCTTGATGCACCAAATACACACCAACCCAAACAGGCGTTCGGCCTCCGGTATTCGGACCTCTGTCTCTCCACCTGGAGGTTCTGTCTCTATGCTGCCCTCGTGTGTGCTGAGAACTGACCTCCCAGATAACTTCAACAACCCGAGTGAGAACCGCATCAACACAATAAAACCTCATCTCTCAAACTTCTACAGCTGCTCCGCTGAGGGACAGATCTGAGATCAGCTCAGATGAAACGCCTTCATTAATCCTGAGAGGGAAGCGAAACCAGGGAGTTGTGCAACGTGATGCGTCGCTGCTGCTGATTTCCCTGAACGCAGCGCGGCGTGGAGGCCGGCGCGCGCATTTCCACGTGAGCTGATCCATCAGCTCAAACGCAGAGAGACCCGTGCGGGGGGGGGGGGGCTTTATCTGAAGCCGTCCGGCCTGGACAGCTCATACCTGTGATCAGTTTATAATTATAATCATTTGAATTCAGATTCACTTCCATTTGGGCTTTAATGTGCTTCTCATTCAGCTTATGAGGAAATTGTTCAGAGAAGTGAAACTTTTAAATGGCACAACGCCTCACATGGAAACAGGTGTTTGCAGCTCAATCAGAGCCAATCGGATTCCTAATAGCAGCCCAGTCCCTCCTCCCACTGACCCTGCAGCTGTCCCAGTAAATCACTCTTGAATGCTTTTGGGTTCACATGAAACCAGCAATCACTGAGGAGGAAGAGGAGGAGGCCAAGAGTTTCAGATCAGCCACGAGACTTTCTCCATTTGTTTGTGGGTGTATTTTCCATTGCCGCGATTCGGGGACCCCCACCCCTTTTTTCGTTTCAGTGTCGTTTGATATCGCTTCCTTTTCGGTGACTCACAGGCCAGCTCGGAAAGCAAAGAGAAGCAGTCACCGATCCTCACCCCGTTTTTCACGGGGGGATTCCCACCCTCTGGCTGCCACTAAGCGTCTCTCAATCTGGGTCATACATATCTATTTAGTACACACAGTCATGGTGGTAATATTAATTGGGGGGGCCATATTGCGCTTGGCACGCACCCAGATTTCTTATTTAATTCAACCTATCGCTATTGTGCCTATTTATTCCAAAACATTACTCTCGTGCATCCACGATGCACAATGAGTCCAATTCCAGCATACGAGGAGGCCAAGTGTGTGGAATCACAGGGAGAGGAGTGCCTATGCCCCTCATATCTCACCTTTACGGGGACAGTTTACGAATGAATCTGGAAAAATCACCCGAAGAAAAAAAAACAGCTCAGCATTTTTCCCCGGTCAGGCATCCCACCGAGGGGGTTCACTAAGCTCTGTTAGAAGAAGCTCTCATTTTGTCCTCCACCTATCAGTCCATCTCTCCTTTTTTATGGATAATTAAATCATTGACAAAGGAACTGTATTCACATTCATGCCACAAGGTACGAGGGGCACATATTTACATTTAAACAATCCAAGAGCTTTATCACTGTTTTTAACTGTTTGTTTGTTGATAGCAAACCAATTGCTACATCTGTCCAAACTTAGATGTAAATATATTGATAAAAAAAAACACTTCCCTGTTAGGGTATGTCATTTTCGGCTAAATAAACAGGAATTGCTTTGCGACAAGCTAAAACCTGCTGCACGAGCCATTCAGTTGGCTTCAATGGAAAGACACAAAAACGCCGTCATATATGGGAAATGTTGGAACTTGCATTCTTACAAGCATTCCTGATTTAGATCATTTCTCTGGAAGAACTCGGTGCATCTCAGTGTTTGCTCCATAGGTGCTTCCCACGCTTCAAAGACCACTTCTGTGGTATCAATGCATCAGAAACTTAAAGCAAAGCTTGTACAAACAGATATCTGCTTTCTAAATGTCAGTTAAACCCAAACCAGTCCTGAGATCCGAGAATCAGTGACCGTTTCAGCTTGATTGTCAGCTTTGGTTATGACTCACCAGTAACTGATCAGTAACCTCTAAAATCTGTCTCTGTTAATGTCCAGAAAACAGGAAAATGCCCAGCTTGATGACCACTCCCTCCCCTCTGTTTGGCAACAGGTTGCTAATCTCTGGTGATTTACCCCATCGACACCAACTGGAGGAGTCAGATCAATGTCTTCACTTCCTGTAGAAAAGGAGAAGAGAAAACCTCCCGCTGTGCACCCTCTGGACCTTCCACAGAGGAGCCGTGGAGCGGTTCCCCTCCAGCCGCTTTGCAGGGTCAAGCTCCGCACCTCACACCGCCGGACAGGGAGGTGGAGGGGGCCGTGGCGGTCAGGCACTCAGCCACGATGACCACTGCATTTTCAATCTTACCCTCATATCATCAATGCACCACCCATCCATCCATCCATCCATTATTGTAACCGCTTATTCCCTAATGGGGTCGGGGAAATGTTGGGTTTTTTTTATGTTCAGCGGAAATTGAATTAATGTTTTTTTTTTTTTTTTACACACACACACACACACACACACACACACACACACACACACACACACACACACAGATATACACACACACACACACACACACACACACACACACACACTCACACACACGCATAGACACAGACAGACAGAAGATGGATAGATAGATAGATAGATAGATAGATAGATAGATAGATAGATAGATAGATAGATAGATAGATAGATAGATAGATAGATAGATAGATAGATAGATAGATAGATAGATAGATAGATAGATAGATAGATAGATAGATAGATAGATAGATAGATAGATAGATAGATAGATAGATAGATAGATAGATAGATAGATAGATAGATAGATTTTCCAATTAAATAGCCAATCAACAAAATGTCAAATATAGAGAATAAGCTCAAAAACTGGTTTGACAGCTCTGTTTTTTCTCTCTCTCCTGTTCAAAAGGTGATTTGGGAAACAGACATGTGAAACTTATTGTGTGGTCTAAACTAACTCCAGCCAAAGAAGAGCTAAAGTAGCGATATTAATACAATCATGTTATATCCTAAATAGATGGGGAATGGGAGGGATCGATTGGGATATCGATTGGCTTGAACGTGCTATCGCTCCCTAAGCAGAAAACCAGGATTGCATCATTGTGAGACGAGAGTCAAGATTCTGTTTTACTGGACAGTGAAGTCATAGTCAGACCGGACAAAGGTTGGGGGGGGGGACGTTTCTATCGTTTCTATCTCGACCGCAGCCCACGTTACGCAGACACCGCCCCCCCAACCCCCCTTAAGACCCCCTCAATTGGGGGTTAATGTTAAGAAAATGTCAGCCCCTGATGGGAAAACAAGCCTGTTCACATTCAACGCGAAATGTTTCTAACAGTCTCACAGAGATTCTTACCTCCCCCTGAGCCACTGCCCCCGTAGGCAGGTACGTTCCCGGACATGTTGGCTGGGGGGGCGACGAGGGGCGGGTACACAGCTGGAATAAACAGCAAACAGTTAGCCGGGCTCTGTCCCAGAGCTCAGCATATACAATAGAACCTCTACATACGAATTCAATTCGTCCCAGGACCTCCTTCGTATATTAAAAATATTCGTATGTTGATTCAAATATTCCCATAAGAGTGCACCGTAATTCGCATAATTCGTTCCACAGCCTCAAAAACCTAGAATAACTCCTAATAAACACCGCAGATAATCACACATAGAAATAAAACAAATTAATTATAAAAGAGAGATGTGAGAAAAAATCAATGATAAAGAAATAATTGATAAAAAGGGTGTATACGGCTTGTTTAATCTGCAGGGCATCAACAAAAACGAGATTTTTGCGCATTATTCTGAGGCCTGGAGGCGCGTCTCCATTCCGTCCCGTCAGAAGTGTGAACTGAAAGGAAAGACTTTCTGAAGCTGGGAGAGGATTACCTGGGTTGCTCATCCTGCTGGACGTCACGCGCGGCGACACGGTCTTCAGGGGGAAATTGGCAACTTCTGCAGGGACTTTCTTTTATCTGGTTCTGATGCACTCATCAAAGGGAAGCAGGCAGAGACATCCACTTCCGGGATTACCTTCAGAATAAAAGGACGGGCGCTGGGACTCCTGTTGCTGCTATTGGGAAGGTCCCAGCAGAGCTGAGGGTTGAAAACGGTATAGTCGTGTCCTCATGGCTATATCTGAAACTAAAACAAGCTTTACAGCAGGCATGAACTTGATCGAACTTCACATTAACGAAGAAAATAACGCCTTTTTGTTTTCTACGAGTTTTTTTATGCTTCTTTGTTATTTTTCTCCACAGTTTTATTCTCTCTATAGGCCTATATACATATATAAATAGATATATTTCTCTATATATATGTACATATATATGTATCTTTGTGGGTGTGTGGTTTTTTTTTTTTGGCCCATTCCTGTCCTTCACATCTATTTGTCTCAAAAACCATGACATTGCTTTCTATGAAAGAATATAATATACATCGGCTGATTACAAGTGTGTTTTACTGTGCTTATTCATTTGGTTGTGTCAAATTTGATAAATGTATCCATATCAAACAACAACCTTAGAAACAGTAGAGTACAACAACAGTCCTCCTACCATGTAGCACAAGTTAAAGCTCAGTATAGCTTTGTTTTCTTATTTGATCTTGGATTTTTTTAACTTAGCCTTTTAAAAAGAATAAGCAGGAATTTTACTCCGCTTCAGGCCGCAAAAGACACGGTCATTAATGTAAGTTTGACTTCTGTAACCTGACACTGGACTACAGGAATGTGACCATATGGCTCATCTGGAATGGTTTAGGAGGCCAACGTACTGTAACAAGAAACGGCAAAAAGGAAAAAGAAAAGAACCAACATTCTCAACCTCTCTGTGTGTGACATGAGCAGAGGCATTCATTCAAACGAGGGGAAGGTCTGTTGTTTCAGTAAATGCTCTCCAGCAACGCAGAAGTCGTTCTCTGAGGGGATTCGACAAGTCCAGAGCTGCTCTGCTGCCTCCAGGTGAATGCTTTTCAGGTCAGCCAGAAGAAAAAAGCTCCTCCGACATCTCCCGTCATGCCATCTTCCCTCCCTCTGTCGGAAAGAGACAAAATACAAAGAAAGGAGACATTAGGGAAGGAATGTAGGAGGTATAGAAGTAAATGTCAAGGAGGGGGTGTTAGAGATTAGAGAGAAAAGCAACTGCAAGGAAATCTGAGAGCAAACCAGAATTAGGAGGCTCATGCGTTATGTGTGAGCCACACAGCTTCCTGAGCTTTTTGTGAGGCCATCGGAGTTTGAGTGTTTTCCGAATAACCCACAGCAGATGCATTTCCTGAAGAGATCAGATCTGATTAAACTTTACATGCAGTGGTGGTCAGGCTGAAACCATTTGTTTCCTGCTTTTTCTGTGTGAAAAAGCAGGGATTTACAGGTGATTTGAAATCAGTCTCACTTACGACTTCCATTTTCACATCTGAAATTTCACTTTGGTTGCCAAATTTTGTTCATGAAGGAGAAATGTTATTGTTTGGTCATAGTCATATTTTCTTTCATAAAACTGATCTTATTTTCCTAATTTTTTTTTTTTTTTGTCCTCTGGGATACAATTGAAGTTTATGTTAAATAGGTGTAATTATGAATTTAATAATTTCCCTATGATATCAATGAATTATTTATATAAAATAAATAAAACCCAGAGTCAGATCATTAACTGTAAAAGCCCACATAAAGCCTTAAATCAAGTTTGACCTAATTTATTCAGCCAAGAACAAAAAACTAAAAGGAAAGATGAACCTAAGAACCTAAGCAGAACCTTATTTTCCTATAAAAAGCAAATCATATGCCACATATTGATGAACAAATGTGCAAATCAAACATTTTGAGTGCATGTAACAGTAAATTGGATTCAGGCACTTGATTTTGAGGTGATACTGTACATTCTGTTTCCAGCTCTAAATGAAAGAGAGCACGTAATGACGGTGTTCGTCCAGCAGGGGGAGCCAAAGACCAGCAGCGGGTTTACGTTCCTGCTGGTTTTACTGGTGTCTGACTGGGAATAAAGAGGCAGATTTACTGAGGTGTGAGCGATGAAGCAGAGTCGGAGACAGACACGGGGAATACTGCCTCTTAGATAAACACAGGAGTGTGTTTGATGCTCTGTGCTCTCTGCTCTGTGTCTGTAAATCAAACGCACCTCAAAGTGTTTGAAATGTTGGTATGAATAATGTCCAGGTCACTGATGGTGTGTTGGGGGCACAGTAGGACTTACAGAGGATTTCTCTCAGCCCCGAGATGTGTCGGTTTGTTTTTAGCCGAGCAATTACCCACACACAGTGTTTTCAGCCTTTTTTAAACTGTTTTCTTTTTCGTATGTAGGTGGAAAACTATTGTGTGAAAACAGCTGAACTCAATTTTGAGTAAGAAGCATTTTTTATCAGCTGGTTTCACCCCGAGACACAACCTTAGCAGTCGTTTGTGCTGAAAGGAAAGACTTTCTGAAGACAAACAACCCACGAGCAGGCTGGAGAGTCAGCAGCGGAACAAATCTATGGACTTTAGTTTGATAGCTCCAGGTCTGACCTCCATGTGACACACAAAGCTGGTTAAGTCGGCCCTGAAACTTATCACACATTACCCTCAGAGGGTGTGTGTGAGAGCACGGGACCACGTTCGTAAACACGCAGAAAATGGTCCTTTGTTTTCGACGCTTTGCCAAAATCATCCCAGCAGCTACAGATATCTGAAAAAAGGACAATAAGAGCGACGGAATGTGCGAATATTTGCGAGCGGAAGAGATTTTTTTGCTGACCCTGCATCTATCTCACTCGTTTGAAGGATTTTGATCCGAGCTAATTTGGATTGAGTCCTTATAGTGCTTATGAAGACATAAAGTTGTAAAAAGTCGAGGTATTTGTGATTTTCAGTTTTATCCCTGTCTCTGTTAAGATGAACAGTTTGAATTGAAACAAACACTTTAGAATTGATGTCTGCTCACTGATGCCATCGACAACAAACTTGAACACAAAAATGACTTCTGCTGGCAATTTAACTCGCAACAGATGAATGCAAAAGAAGTCAAATAAACTATTATTTCTTGAATACTTACGGGACACCCGTGTGAAGTGAAAAAAAGGGTTTAAATGCCTTCGGCATGATCTGAAAAGATAGTTGATTATTTTTTCCATCTAGGAATTTAACCAAATATGGAGCCATTATGTGTGTGAACGCTCGCTTAAATTCAAACGAGCTAAATGATGTTTTGGAGGAAGAGCCTAAAGGCTCAGCCCCCAAAACATCGAGGCTCGCTGTAAAATTCTGTTTGATCAAGTTTTACACCTCAGAGTCAGACAGGAAACGCAGAGAAGTGAGTTTTCTAATGCTGCTATTCTTAACAAATTCAGGAGGGAGCTGAACTCACAGCTCCAAGTCTCTGGTCCTCCTCCACTGAGAGGATGTTTACACATCACTCGCTCTGTGTGTGTGTGTGTGTGTGTGTGTGTGTGTGTGTGTCATCCGGGTTGAGTAGAGTCAGGCATTCTTTCCATTACCCTCATCAAATCAATGTTCAACACTCCTCCTCCATCTACTGTCCCTGCAAAAGCCACAGTGTGTGTCTCTGTGTGCGTGCGCCTGCACATGTGTGTCACCAAAATGTCTGATCGATAAACAGATAGGATATTTGATCCGTGAAAAAAAGTGGGGCGAGCAGGCAAGCGGGGTGTGGGCTCGCGATCAAATCATGCTGATTTGAATCAATTTGGCGGTGTTTAACAGAAAAGCCGGCTTCATTTCTTCTGCTTTCAAAGAGCCAGACGCTCCTTCCTCTGGACTTTTCCTCGGGTTTCCCCCGCTCTGAGGTCAAAAGGTCCCGGCGTTGGCGTGGCCCACACAGTGAGCCTTACCTGCTTGCCTCAGTGGATGCGTGGTACCTCAAACCACTGACACAGACAGTTGCGTTTGTTCCAGATGCTGCAGATGTTTCACTGGCGGTTGGTCTGCAGCCTGAGGGGGGCCGAGCTCCCGACAGGGAAGCCCCATCCGAGGAACGCCGTCCCAAACACTCTGCCTGCTTTCCGTCAGCTCCGCCGCGCAAGTGTCGGCTCGGGGGGGTTTGCGTTGTCACGGCGACCCCCGCAGTAAACAGCGTCCTCTTAAAGGGTGGCTCGGACCGCCAGTCACCATTAAGCATCCAGGAGTCCTGACGGCCTGTTTATGCGAGGTGGATCGGAGGCGTTTGATCTGTGCGGCTCCTGTCCAGAGAGGATTAAAACTGCATAAAACAAGCAAAGCGCACCAGGAGATTAGATCCATAAACCGAACCAGGCTGAATAATGGATCATTGTTCCGTGGGCCGCATGTGCACAGTCTACTTCATTTAAGGAGCTGAAAATAAAAGCATTGACTGGCTTTGAAAATGAGATGAAATTCAGCCTTTTTACTTCTTTCCCTACAACATGCAAAAGTATGCACTCAGGGTGGTATGGAGTTTTTTTGTGTTTTTTTTTAGGGAAAAACGGTCATATCTGATGGAGAAAGGACAAAATGGTGAAGGGAACCTGCACCTGTTTAAAGAAACATCTGCTGATTGCAAACTGGAGGGTTGCACCGAGAAACAGGTCCACAACAAACCCCCTTTTCCAGCTAATGCATCCATATAATACTTTCCTATTATGTTTATAGTATGGATTCATGTGCAGCATGTTTTATGAGTCACTGATAAGACCCTCAGAGCAAGAAGCAACTCAATATAGGATCCAAACTCACTGACTTTGACGTCAACGTCCCTTATGATTAAAATTCTACACAGCTATTTTATTTTCCTTTTTCTTTTAAATCAACGGAAATGTAAAATTTCTGATTTTAGCTCAACAGTCTCAAACTGAACATCAGATTCTCGTTGTTATTTATGCTGAAAAACCACAATCGCTGGTATTATTCCTCTTAAAACTCATTTGAGGCAACTGCTGACCCGGAGCTTTCGCTAACGGGGTAGAAATAAGCCTCTAAAACAGCAAAGATAGGCTGTGAAAGGTCAGGTACACCAGTGTTCACGTTATGCTGGGTTTAGTGTAAGAAGCAGTCAAGAAGCAGCCATTCCAGTCCTAACACGAAATGTTCATTGACCTCACTCCCTTTTTTTTTCTCCAAATCTCTTATTTTTACTGAAACTTCAGGAATTGAACAAGTCATGAGAATGGATCTCTTACATATGGTGGGAGTCCAAGGAATTAAGACTTACAGACTTGGATCACAGTGGTAGCCATTGAAACATGATTTTAAGTGACTGTTTCTTTCAACTTTTATTTTGCTTAGTCATCTGAAAACAGTAGAAATCTCAGGACAACAACGCAGTGGACTCAAAGAAAAACCACAAAATGGCCTCCATGATGGAAGGAATTGTCAGTCATTTGTCCATCCCCACACACAAGCTCACAGAGGCTGAAAATGAAACACTCGCACAACTCATAAACCCTACAGTGATGATACTTGACATTCATCTGGAATATTCATATTCAGGACATCTGGAGGAAAAAAAAAAAAGAAAAAAGGTCACGAAAAGTTTCAAATCGAACAGTAAAACGCTGAAATGAGCCGGTCGCGCTGGTCACAGCGAGGAGGCCGTTCGTTTCTCAGTCCAACGCTGATCGCTTCGTCTGAGTTTTGCTGACTGCGGAGGACGGAGCGGTCAGTTCTGCCCACAAAGTCACAGCCAGCGGGGAAAAAAAAAAGCAAAACGCAAATCTCTCCGTCCCTCAGGGGACCTCAGAGGACGGCCAGGTCGTGACAGCTCTTGGAGCGCACCTTGACCGCCATGCGCTGGTTGTTGCGCGCCACCAGCCTGTCCAGGAAGCGCCGGGCCTTCTTGGTCAGGCTCTCTTTGCGCTTGTAGATGGAGGGCTTGCGCCCGGCGGGCTCGCCGCCGTCCCGGCGGAGGCGGATCTGCCGCACCACGCCCTCGAACAGCTCGGACACGTTGTGCTGCAGCGAGGCCGACGTCTCGATGAACTTGCAGTCGAACACCACCGCGCACGCCCGGCCCTCTGCCGCGCCGGAAAAAACAGGCCGTGGTTACGTTAGCATTTGGCTATAATCACTCACTTTAGCGTTGTATGCTATCATATAATCTATGTCAATTACTGAATGTCTTGTTCCTTTTAGAACTATACTTTTGTGTTCAATTCTCTCTCTGTTGGGTCATTAGGTCAACACACACATCCACACAAACTTTGTTACCACATTCCCAGGTTACCTGCATTAATTAGGACCTGGCCGCCTTATGTCAGGGTTAGGGTTAGTAAGTAACTGGCCAATGAGCACTCAGTTGTGTCCAGTCCTTTTGAGGGGTGTGCCCAGCCCAGGTGAAAAATACCCAGGACCCACCAAGATTTCGGGGCTTTTTACCGACTGAGACCCAAAGAGAGGTTTTTGTCTGTATAATTTTGTCTGTACAATGAATGTACTTTTTATAAGTTTGATCTACTCTGGTTTGTTCTCAGGTTTCCAACTAAAGAATCGGGTTAACGGTTACAATGACCCCAAAACCGAGCACAAAAACGTTCCGCCTCTCCCGTCGACCTGTTGGCCTCACCTTCCACGGCGACTTCTCGGGCTCGCACCAGGTCGCTCTTGTTCCCGACGAGGATGATGGGCAGGTTTTCGGCCTGGCGGGTGCGCCTCAGCGTGATGCGCAGCTCGGCCGCGGAGTCGAAGCTCGGCCGGTCGGTGACGGAGTAGACGATGACGTAAGCGCTGCCCACTCTGAGACAGTCCTCGCGAGCGGAGGGGTCCTCTCCCTCCTGTGAGGAGACACAGACGAAGAAACAAATCTGTTCAGCTGCTTTTCTGTCCGTGCTTCAGCGTTTTGCTTTATTTGTAAAAAATGTGACCAAACTGAAAATGACCAGCAGTGCAGTCTGCATATGCAACACCCGACTTTAACCGGTGCTTATGTGAGCATTAGAGAAGAAAGAGATACAAAGTGAGCATATCTTTGGGATTAAGGCGCTAATTCAAAATGTCAGTACGGCATGAGTTAGAAATAATGCAGAACTTTTACTGTAATCTTTTCGCCGTCGTCAAAATCTACAAAACTGCGTTCAGAGGCAGTGAGACCATTTGAGAGAGGCCAAAAGTGTTTATTTAGAGCTTGGTCTCCTATTGAAAAAAACACCTTAAAGTTTGTCTGAAGTCAGGCCGTTTTCCCAATCCGGCTGCATCCTGGATGTTGGCATCACACATCCTTCTGTATTTCTGGTTACCCTGCTTCAAACAACCTTGCTGGATAGGAAAGAATCCAAGCTTTTACTTGTAAAATTTATATAAAATTACATATTGGTTTACAATATAGATAATAACCATTTAAGCAACAAAAAAGGACTTCTTAATGTATTTTTGCACATTTGATTATGTGGCTGTATCCCACTGGCAGTCACATTTGACTATTTTTATGACCCTTGAATGTTTTTGACAAAACTTGAATGTTTACGTAGTGAAAAATATTGAAAAAAAGAAAGAAAAAAAAGAAAAAGGACAACTTTTGAGGCCTTTTCAAACATAAATTCTATAAATTCTTGAAGAGCCTTTAATGCAAAAAGGTTTATCATCAGAAAATTATCAATCATTTTCTGGAAAAGTAATCGTATGATCTAAACATTAACTCTCTAGAGCACAGATAGGAATTGCATTGCCTTAATGTTACCGCAGTAATTTTGAGAAAAAGGTGTAAGAACAGTTTTTTGGGAGGAATACTCACAAACAAGCAACAGACATGGCATGACACCTCCATCACAGACACACACAAACACACTGTACCAGTTTGTCGTTCTCCCACGTATCCATGACGATCAGCGTGGTTTCCTCTCCATCGACTGTCAGAGTTCGCTCATACGTGTCTTCTGCAATCGAATGATAAACAATAAACATTCAGCAGCAGGACAAATAAACAAGCTGCAGACATTTTAACGTCTCTTTGAGCCCAGCTGCGTCATGACGATTGCTGAATCATGGAAAGAAATGTAGGAAACATCAGGAGATTTAAAAGCTATTGTACTGTCACAGTTATGGGATGCTACATTTGTTAGATGAACTATGCAATAAAAACATTACTGTCGGTTTAAAGTCAACTCATTGTATTTATATGGTGGTAATATAATAAAATATTAAGTTAAACCTGGGACTTCTAAAACAGTCGATAGGAACGTCAAAGAATAATTAGTCATTTCTTAAGATTAAGCAGATATTTGGATGGGGCAAATCTGTAAAAGTATCACTTAAAAATAGGTTAAAATTCCAAAGCAAGCCAAAAAGAAAAAGACTATTTGGCAATTAAACAAAATTGCGATATGATATATTGGAATATTCTAAACAAACCCAACAGAATCGCATGATACATTTATGCCCCCATGATTTAATTACTGCTCAACATCTAAAATTATTGCTACATTTATTATCACAACAATCAAGAAAAGCAAAGTTCTTGTGTTCCTCAATCTCCGGCTAAAAAAAACAAACAACAAAGCGAGCTGACACCGGATCGGGACCACTGTTATGGCTGCAGAAATAAAGGGAAATAAACTAGCTCCGGTTCTGAGTGACCAAAACACACCGGAGCCAGACAGAGTTCACATAACCTGAAAAATAACAGCAGACCAACCCTGCCTGCACAACAAGTCTGATTTTCAGTGGATCAATAAAGGTTGCCAATGGTGGCCAGCCGTCACGTGACACGAGGGCTGCTCGATAATGGGGAGCCAGTCAGGGTTTCAATGTCACAACAAAGTCAAAGGTACTCGGCACAGAAAGGAAGATTTTAAATGCAGAATATATCTTTTAATCACCTCCGTCAAACTGAGTGTCAGACTCAGAGGTAAAGCTTTTGGTAAAGCTTTTTAAAATGCTTCATTTGGCTTTGTGGTTTGAAAATGGAACAAATAACTTAAAAGCATTTTTCTGTAGATGGGGAATTTCAACCTTTAATGGCTTGATAAAGAAAGGGAATAGAAGGGAGCGATCCATCTCTACGTCTAGGCAGTCTGGAAGATCATTTTTTAAAATCTTGCCGTCTTTAAAGGGTGGTAGACTGAAGACACCCTGACCTTTAGTCCAGTATGCAGCGAAGAAAATCTAAACACTTTGAAGCCTACATGACAACTCTTGATAAACTCAGTCCAAACACGGGTCCAAAGCAGGTGTCATGACAAACCATTCTCAGCAAGAGCAACAAAAGCTGAGGAGCTAAGGGGCTTAAGGTGTGTTGATCTTTACACTGCTGCTAGTTCTCCAAGGTGGTGGCAGCTTCACTTGCCAAGAATCGTCAGAAAAAAAAGAAGTGTTTTCAGGCTATGTGTTTTGTTTTTCAGATGTCCCACACAAATAAAATGCTCTAACTCCATTTTTTATGTGTTCTATGAAGTTGTTATGATTTTCTAGAACTTTGCGCACCGTTGTTTAAGTGTATTTCGTTGTTATGGGTGTTCTTCTGCAAATGAGACATGCACTGTTTCCACTGTGTATCATTTCCTGTCTTTGCCTTAAATCTGAATAATGCTGGGAAAGTTGGAGCCGGTCAGGACTGATGGAAACCAGAGTTCACAGCAGCTTTCAAAGAGCGCAATAAATCGCACTTCAGCCACGACGAAAAAAAGCCCAAAGCGAGCGAGAACATGAAAGACCAACGCAGAGACAGCGTCCCACCTCCAGGTTGTTCGTCTTTCTCCGTGACTCCAGCAAAGATCCCGGCGAGGCTGGTCTTTCCGACACCGTGGTCGCCCAGCAACACCACTCTGTAAACACAGTCTGAGTCACTCTGCGAATCGTCATCCGAGTCCGAGCTCCAGTGGGCGCGGTAGTGGAGGGACGTGTCCCCGGGGTGGTAGGACGCCGACTGTCCCAGAGGGGGGTGGCGGCGGAGGGGGCTGGCCTGGTCCGGGTCGGGCAGAGTGCAGCCGGGGGTCCGGGGGTCCTGGGTCCTGGACGGGTGCCGGTAGAGGGGGGAGACGGGCGTGCTGCTGCGCCGCCGCAGGGGCTCCTTCTCTCTCTGGGTGTTGAGGGTCATATTGCTATGATGACAGCATCAGCACGGGACAGGCCTGAAGAGTGGGGAGGGGGGGGGGGACAACCAGAAGAAAGTTTACAGGATTATCCATCCATTTTCGTAACCGCTTATTCCCTAATGGGGTCGCAGGGGGAACTGGAACCTAAACCAGTAGCAAATGGGCACCCTAGACAGTCCACCATTCCATCAAAGGGCCACACAGAGACACACAAGGACCAACAACCACACACACTCACTCCTAAGGGCAATTCTGAATGTCCGATCAACCTAACATTCAGGTTTCTGGACGGTGGGAGGAAGCCGGAGAACCCAGAGGGAACCCACGCAGACACATGGAAAACATGCAAACTCCACATAGAAAGGTCCTGGTTCCCCCGGGGACTCGGACCCAGAACCATCTGGCTGTGAGGAGATGGTGCTAACCACCACACCACCATGCCGCCCATTTACAGAATTAATCCGAGCAAATATAAAAAGTTTACCCGGCCTTTCTGAGAGGTGGTTTAAGCGATGTTCCAAACAATCAAACAGCGGCAGCTGCAGTGATGTCATCACAGCTGGTTTGAGACCCCTATATCGTGCCCGTGTAAAAGCTTTTCTGACATGTGCCTTTGCGCAAAGCTTTCGTAGGTTTTTCTGGATTTCCCGCTCGAACATGGATTCTGGCATTGACAGCTGATTTTCCTGATGGCAACATTTATACTGCGGAGGTTTATGGGTTGGTCTAGCTTTGTAAGCTCTTCTGCTGCCGGGGTGAAACATTTATGTCAAGCTTGTTTATTTTCCAGAAGGACTTAGTAAAACAAAGATAATGAGCTGACTTAACTGAATAAGTCGGAGACTGTTAGAGATGGAGTTTCTGAGTCGAATTTCTGCTTGAGAATGCTTTGAAATACAGCAAAACTATTGTAGAAAACCATGTGATCGGATACAGGAGATCCATAGATGGTGAGATACTAACATCTCAAACAGTTCTTTAGAAAAGTACATTTTCTTATCACTATTTCCACATGACGTGTTAGGGTGGATATGACATAGATGCATTAATTTGATAAAATTGAGGAGCACCCTTTGAGCTAAGACACAAGAGAACAAACAGCATATTGTATCCAATGCAAAAACACAGAATATGACAAGTTCAATTTAAGCCATAGTATCAACTTTGGCTACATTTGAATGGGGACTGTAAAAATGTGTGTCCTCTATCAGTCAACCACCTCAGGGCAACGCATGCCTGCTTAGTGTAAAATAGAGGCCCCTTTTCAAATCAACCAATCCCCTCACGCTGTTTGATTTATATACAATAACTGAGGTGACTTTCCACTTCCTGACAAACGAAAGAGAGATAATCCAGCAAATCCCCCCGAAAGGCTGGTAAATGTTAAAAGACGGTGCACGTCCTGCTGCACGCAGATACCTCTACAGTGCACGAGACCCAAACTACACACAAACAAACTTCTTATAATGAATAATTCAGGTAATTAAAGCTGCCAAGAATGACACTAAGTGATACAGAGAGAAGGGGACTATTAGATCATCCAAAGGATTGCAGTCACAAGCAGAGCTCAAAAACCAAACAACCCTGGAAACATCCTTCACAATTAGCTGTCATTTTCTCAGAAATGTCGGTTTGCTGCCGGACAACGGATGCAAAAGCGTCCGATTCTCTGCGGGGTCAGCACACATGGCTCCCTGAGGCAACACAACCGGAGAGCACGCAAAAACTCTCCTCAGTTAGCTGATCAAACCCAGCGAACAACGTCTTTCATCCACAGTCAAAGTAAGCCAAGGGGGAAACGGAAAAAAAAGGCGAGACTCACATCAGGTCACATGGGGAGAAAAGACTCCTTCAAAAGTTTCTGCGTGAGAAGTTCACACAAACAATGTTCCAGTCCTACGAACCAGCATCATGTCAAAGACATGATGTAGACACAATTCTTTGCTCTAAGCTCAAAGTATTTCAGCATGATGTCAGTGGATGTGTTTAAAGTGTCATTTTGAAATATGCCTGTATAATAACATGTATGTGATAGTAGAAATATATGATGTTGGAGCTGTGTGTGTGTGTGTTTGTACGTGTGTGTGAGGGCAGACTTACCATACATGCCACACGTAGTCGGCTCCTTACCGGCCTCAGTAAACAACAGAAACGCACTGAGCCCTGTCTCCCTGTGTCTGTCAGTGTAACAGTACCCTGGTGCCACAGTAACCCGCCTGGAAAAAAAAAAAAAAAAAAGTTCCACAACAGCGTTAAAAATTCAGCAGTGGAATCACAGTTATCTGCCTCCCTGTAGTGTGTGTGTCAGAGCCACAGCAGAGGAGAAACAGATATCTGAGGAGGGAGTGTGTGTGTGTGAGTTTTATCAGTGTGGAGGGCTCGCTGGTTTTGGTCACTTCCTGTTTGACATAAAAGACAGTTTAACTTAATGAAACGGCTGGCTCTGGACAGCCTGCTTTGAATATGACATGGAAACATGCATTTTTCCCCTTCCTCCGTCAATGTCGTCAACTCAAACACCTTCTAAATCGAATAACTAAAAGGTTTATTTGCTGACTACAGTCCACTTTACAAACTAAACAGCACAGAAAGTTTGACCTGATGAATGGCCGGCTACAGTTTCTTATTTTGTCGGATTTTCACATTTTTAACCAATAAACTGACGACTGAACAGAAAAATATTCCAGTTAAATGTTAAGCCAACCAGCAATGTATGAATTGATAAGCTCTGTAATTGACAAAGACCAGATAATAAATCTAATTTGATAAATTACAGACCGAGTATTACATATCTGGTCATCACCAACAGATTAGGTACCGCAACAGTACTACCAAGAATATTTTACCAAAAAGCTAAATATCATGTACGTAGAAGAGTTTAGGATTTTGTGAAAGCCTGAAACTGCTTTAGCTGAAGGCTTAAAGTTCATAAGCAGACTGAATATCTGTGCTTGTCTCCATTGTCTTAAGGTGAAAGAAACGCGTTTACTGAGTGATGAAACCATCTGTTAGTTAACAAACGTTAAAATTATTTCCCCTTTTGATTAATTGACAAACAAATTGTTCATTAGGAGTTTAATTAAAAGCCAGCTGACCATGAAGCTGCATGACTTATGAATACAATAAACGTATCCATTGTAGTCAGGCATCTTGTTGGCTGCTCGAAGCCTCTCTCCCTCCATTGAAGCAATTTTGGCTTCTATTATCATCCAACTCATATTGTAATGCGTCGGTTCTTGTCCACGTGACAGCTTTCTAAGTTCTGTTGAGCCTGTGACGTCTCAGTTTCCTGGACCCTGTTGTGGTCCTCTGCGGCCCATCCTCCTCGAGACTGGAGTGGTGTTGTGCATTCAGAGATGGTGTCCAGCACTCCCCTGAAAAAAAACTGATTTGAGTTCCTGTTGCCTCTCTATCATCTGGAACCAGGCTGCCCACTCTCCTCTGACTCCCCTCTTTTCTCGGAACATTCTCTGTAAACCCTGGAGATAGCTGTTTGCGGAAACCTCAGCAGATAATCCCAGCTCTGTCCCCACATAAAGGCCAGGTTCAAAGTCACCAAAATATCCCAGTCCCAATTTAACAAGATGTCTTGACCACCTCTACATTTTATTATTTGTTTTTAGCTGATTTTTAGCTTTTTGTTTACAGGTTATAGAATGGGTGAACTTAATAATGAGGCCTGTGAATGTATCACTGTAGTTATTTTCTAATACAAATCTATATAAAGCTCCTTAAAAAGAAAGAATTTCTTCAAATAAGTAAATAAAAACACAATATTGCTTAAATCTGTGAGATTTTTAGAGCACACACAGTTCAGAAAGTTCATTTTTGGGTCATTCTGATTTTTTTTTGGCACAAACGGGTTTCCATAGTTTACACATGCACTGTGATGGAAAATTAGATTAAGGAGGAGCACACATCACTTCCTCTGTGTCAGTGTGTGTGTGTGTGTGTGTGTCCTAAATGAAACTCAACGCATCACAGATGTTTTACAGTTTGAGCGTAAGAGGGGGGCTTTTTTATTCCCGATCTCTGAGCATGAAACGTCTCACGTCACACAAACTGATCACAAATAATCCTGCCTTTAATTAGTCACACACCAGCCTGATCCTACACATAAGTACATAAAAAAAAAAAGAAATCCTCCTGATAAGATAATCCTATTTAGCTTCAGTTACAACTGATGAAGCGTAATCAGGCTGCATAGTTTCATAAATCAATTTAAAACTTCGAAATGTCAAAGGTGAAAGTGACATAAAAACACAAAGTGGATGTAAATGTGATAACCCAGAAATATCCACAGAAAATAAAGGCTGAATCATTCCGTCTGTAGCAGAAAAGTACTTTGTTTATTAGTTTATGACGTCATATTTAAAGCTCAATTTGCTCTTGTACATTTGCTCTAACTGTGTTAAAAGTGAAAAAACGGAGTCAAAGTAAGTCTTTCTCGGAAAATGCCTCACTTGTTGCTAAAGAAAAGAAAAAATCTTAAACCAAAACAAATGCTCATCATGAATCTCACCTGAAGTCTCCTGAGCACTGCCTGCTTTCCCTGTTTGTCAATAAGCCACACCAAGACAGCACACTTTTACACACTTTTATGCGTTTGAGAACATTAACGCTTTTCATTGTGAGACCTAAATCAGTCCATGTTTTGTTTATTTCATTGGATCTCCTCGTTGCCTTTTTAATCTGCCTCGCTGACACTATTTCAAAAACATCTCATCATTTCATCATGCGCCGTTTCTGGTGGCATACTTTTAAACTTTTCATCACATAACTGAATCATTATTTGTCTCACTAGAGACAGCAAAAAAAAACAAAAAAAAAACTCACGTGATTGTGAGATGGTTTTTATTTCAGCCTCATGGCATCACTCATAAACAAATATACTCATTTTTGACTGTGTACAGCTGATTTTGCCCTTTTTTTCCCAGCAAAACATTCAGCTCCAACAGCAAACGAAGACAACCTGCTGCTCTCTTGTTTATCATAAGTGTGAAAGGAATACATTTATTCTTTTTTTTTCTTCTGTTTTGTCGCAAATTGCTTTTGTGTGGCTTCTGCCAACTCAAAGCTGTGGGCTACTGCCCAACACTGAATACTGCTGCCCCCGTGTGGCTGCATGAAAACAATGTAACATCTTCCAATCCTATAAATACTAAAGTGTCTCTCCAGAGACAATCCAGAGAAAATCCGTTTTAACATATTCAAATCGAATGCAAAACCATTATTGGCTTTAATGAGTCAGCGCTTCAAATTCTGCATATTTTTACAATTGAATACCAAAAATAAAACTACAATATTAGCAATCCAAACCTACCTTGAAACATATACCTATCTCAAATCTAAATTAAAGTCTGAATGTTATATCTGAAGTTACTTAGGTCCAATATCCTGATGCCTAATATCTGCCTGCCTAAGAGTTGCCAGTTTACGGATAATATGTGTTCAAATGTTCATAGAAAGCCACGAGAATCTCTTGTATTGCACTTTAATCGGTAACATTTTTTATCAATGCAAAATGACAAATTTGAAAATGAAAATTCACTGAGCTGAGAGCTGCTGTCAATCTTAAATTTATATTTCAAATATTGTATTGCTGTTAATCAAAGACATTTGTATTTCGTTCTCTTACTCTATCAGTGTTACTGAACCCTTCAAACTGGCTGCATAGAAATAATGTGGATTGAAGTTATTTGCCAAACGAATAGTTGATGATAACTTCTATTCAAAGGAAAATATTTCTAACGATAATAACTGTCCTTCTGTTCCTGGTTTCTGAAGCTTCATCTGATGCTTAATTCTGCAGAGGCCACTCATTGGGTTGAAGGTGTTACCCACATGTAAAGAAAAAAAATCCTCAAAGTAATCTTTGCTCTTTTTTAATTAGTGCTCATCCTCTGCGTCGGACTGCTGAGAAGGGACCTCATCGGTTTGCTCCTGAGTGGAAAGAACAAAACCCTCTGCAACTGGAGGGAAGAATATGCACACAAAGTCAAGTTAGTTACCTTTTGTGATTACAGGGAAAAGCCAAGCCAGCATTTACATTTAGATGGATTTATGTCATTTCAAATGGTCACTTTCTTTTCACTAAATGAAAGTGTTTGTCGTTACACAATCCAAACATCAGCAAATTATTTACTTTATTTTCAGACCATTTTAACTGTCAGCATATCTGCACCAAGATGTTGGATAGAGTATCATCTCCCAGCTTTTTGTGGAAAGTGATACTTTATTACAGCTATCAGCAGAGACAGGGGCATCAAAAATAGACACACTGGTGGACCAAAAGAGCTCAAGTAGCTTATTTTTACAGGAACAATATCAAGCAACCTGCACAGCATACTGGAAAAACACAACATGCACAACAACAGTGTCTTTGTTCAGCCCGACTTTTGTGAGGACATTTATCAAAATGACCACATTGAGGCTTTTTACTTAATACCAAGAACACCATTTGTTAAGGTTTGACTAAAACTCAGTTTGTATCTTTTTCTAACATTTTTCACAGTTTTCGAGTTGACAATTCAAGTAAAGTTGACAGTAAAAGTGTACCATTTGATATATTTTCTTCTCCAGATTCTGGTTCAAGTTGTGCAGTGGCATCTGTGGCTTCTTCTCCAGGTTGTTGTGTGGCTTCCTTCAGAAGAACGATTCTGTTCAGGAGGTGATCGAGAACCTGCTGCGCATGGTCAGACTGTGTTGTGATGGTCAGACGCTGTGGCGGCTGTCCTGATAGGAGCTGAAACTTGGTGAAGGTTCTGAAAAACCAAAAGCCACAGAAGTGCTTCAGCTTGCAGTCGAATTAAGCGTATGAAGTAAACCACAGGCAAAATTCTGCACAAAGATGAAGTTCTGACACTCCAAAATGTAATGAGAAGCACGTTTAACCTGTCTCTGGTGTTTTTGACAATCCAGCATAGAAGACAGAGAACCACCAGAACCACCACCAGAATCAGGACTGAAATGATGAGCAGGTCACTGGACAGCTGCTCAGCCATGGTCAAACAGATACTCGAAGCCTAATGGGGAGTACTTGGGGCCTACAGGGCTATAGAGCTGAAAAAGAATTTTAAGGTAAAGATATTCAAACACCACCTTCAGAAATTGATTTAGATAGTTAGAAGGATTGGAAACTTTCTCTAAATGTTCAGAAATATTAGGACAGTGGTAAAATACAGGAGACCCTACTTTTGATTTTCCGCCTGAAAAAAGCAGCGATATCTCTATGGCAACAAAACATACACTAAGGACTTTTTTTATTGTTTCGATTATGAGTAAATTGTTTTAAAATATTTCTAATACAGTACCCCAATATCAAAAGATCAAACCACGAATCATAAATGCTACATGAAGGAAACACATGACTTTAAATAAAACTTAATTTTACCAGCAATAAAAAAAAACTGCAACCAAAAGTTCTGAGTGCTGCTCACAAAATATTTCTGATTATAGTCTGGTTTAAAACAGTTCTCGTCCTTAAAGTTACAATCCATTTTTTTATGAAACATTAAGTTATCAAACATAAGAAACATACCTGGGTCTCTGTAAATTCCGTATTTATTCAAACTTTGTTGGAAATGTGTAAAGTTCTGATACTCAGAAATTTGAAAGAAAACATTCTAATGCCAACAAAGTTGTTCCGTAAGACTTGACAGTTGTGTAATTTAAAAAAAAAACAAAGTAAACCGTTAGGCTGAGACTTTAAAAAGGTGATCCATATGTTAAAGTGATCTCTTGGAGTAGACCTTCAAAAGTAACAGTTTGGGCTGAGTAGTTCTGGAAACCATAGGTAGGAAGTCCATATAAGTTCTGATATTTTGTTGAAAATTGTTTATTAAGGAGGCGAATAGTTTGCCTTCACCATATTCACCATAACTTGACAAAATATTTAAACAGTTTTTATTAGTTATTAGTTAATATTAGTTTATTATATCGGTTAAACGTCAGTTTTGGGCTCTATAGAAAATAAAATTACACTTTGTTCATCAATCAACTGACAACTGAATCTGTCATTTTGAGCCATATGCTCTAACCACTCCTAGTTGCCTTTTTAATTTGCCTTATTATTTGTCTCACAATAGTAATAATAATAATAATAATGATAATAATGATGCTTTCCGAGAACATTTCTTTTAATTTGACCTTTGGTTATTTTTTTATTTGATGAAGGATGAGAGTTTGGATGAATCAAGCTGTGAATCAAGTGTGGGCATCTAGTGGACATCTGAGGAACTTCAGCTGAACACATGTCATACATTCTGTCCATCTGACTCATTTGTCTCCAACAATCACACAAATCAGCAACAGGAAGCAACAAATAAGGCGGCATGTTTTAATCAGAACAGGAAATCAGAGAAATCCTTTACAAAATATATATTTAAACAGGACCGATGAGCACACTGGTCAAGTTTTGTGGAATGAAGCACCATCGAACACAGTTGTTAATGTTTTATAAATCTCACGGTTTAACACAAAACGTCCAAAATGAATACTTACATTCGATTTATCCTGGTGGATAATAATTAGGCACCATAGTGACATAAATAAAGTTTTCAGTACAGCAAAGATAAAAATAAAATATACAAAAGATGTAAAACGACTCAGAGGAAAGATGTAAAACACGGATGTAAATACACTGATCAGATATGTACACTGTGTGTGTGTGTGTGTGTGTGTTTGTGTGTGTGTGTGTGTGTTTAGACAGCATTATTGGTGTTATCATTATTATTGATTTCCATCCTGCTGATCAGCTCGGTCACCAGCTGCTGCACAGTTTGGGAACGCAACCGGCCAACCTCCAGGACGCCTTCGTGGTTCACGCTGTCCGTGTCCTCGTAGCTCTTCACCACCTGAGTCAGACCAACCAATCAGTCAGCGGATCCTCACACCCTTTTACTCTGACGCGCACCGGGCGGATTAAGTTCCCACCGATTAATTGTCTCATAGGAAATAAAACATCTGGCTAATAATGAATTAAATTGAAGAACACACAGGAATCATGGTGTGTTTGCGTTACCTTATTTGTGATCAGAGAGAGGCCAAACACTCTCAGGCCACAGTGAGTCGCCACGACAACCTCGGGGGCCGTACTCATACCTGAAAAGGCAGGATTGCAGAGATTTTTTTTCACATTAGGGTTTTGATCACGTGCACTCATAGGAGACAGTTTCCAATAGGCTGATTTACGCTCTCTAATCCCATTAGCACTAGGGGAACCATCTAATTCCCAGCCTTACGTAACTATAATCTGGTTAATATAATGTAGTCCTGTGTTGGTGGGTTTGCACCAAAGTGCCTTTTTCCTGCCTTGATTGCATGTCAGAAAGGGATATAATATCACTCTGAGTTGTTGATTTTCAAATATTAATGGTCAACTGGCTGCTAGCTCTTCATCTTTTTGGAGAACTGAAGTGATCAGATTTTGGAAAGAGGATGGAGCTTAATGGCAATATTTTAAATTTAGAAAAAGATTCAAATAAATAATCACATTTTACAATAACTGCTGCTATCGGAAGAAGTCATTCAGAATGAGGACACAATAAATACTAGTGACAACAGTCATATCGCAGCCATCTGTGGTAAGACCAAGCCAATACGTTGGCCTTTGATGATTAAACCTGCGGACGTTAGTATGAGGGAGGCGTACCGACGGCGTCCACCCCCAGCCGGTGCAGCAGTCTGGCCTCGGCGATGGTTTCGAAGTTGGGTCCGCCCACCATGGCGTACACGCCCTCCTGCACGAGCCCGGCCACGCCCAGCTGCTTGGATATCTCCATCGCCAGGCAGCGCAGTCCCTTGTCGTAGCAACCGGACATGGCTGGGAAGCGAGGCCCAAACCTGTGAACGCCAAATCCCCAAAAAACCCAGATAAGAGCAAAGGCAGCAGGAGCGACCACAACAACGTAACAAAGCGTAACACCGGTGGGTTTACTTGTCGTCGTTGGGTCCACATAGAGGGTTCAGGCCCACCAGTCCCGGGAAGTTGACGTGGTCCTTGATGATCATGATGTCGCCAGGCCGGAGCCCGTCGGCCAATGAGCCGGCGGCGTTTGTCACGATCAGCGTCTCCACCCCCATCAGCTTGAAGACCCGCACAGGGAAAGTCGTCTGAGGGGACCAGCAGACGGCGGGGAAATTCAATTATTCAGATTCCAGACGGAGGAAACATCCCAAAGTCATGGTTACAGTGGCCTGTCAGGTGACACGATGGGGGGGGGGGACGCCCGGGCCGGGTCTGCTGACGGTTACATCAGCCAAGACTCGAAAAAAAACAAGGAGGCATTTCCACCCTCGGTGAAAAAGTTTTGTAATTAGAGGTTTTGTTTCAACAGGACGCCACCTAAAGGGAGGGTCAGGCAGCCTCTGTGTGACGCACACGAGAGAGAGTGGGTTTGTGTGGGACTGTGAATGTGTCTTACATACGAGGAAACAATGGCCGCATTGACCGGTCGGCTAAAAGTCTGCATGTGACCCAAACCCATGCATGACCTGGGCTGCCTCACATACAAACACACACAAAATACACTCACTCCGCAGGTCCAGCCTCATGCTGCTGATTACAGGCATTTGTGTTTGTATCAAGGTTGCATGACTGAGCTTTTTTAGTCTGTGTGTGTGTGTGTGTGTGTGTGTGTGTGTGGGCATATTTTGTGTCTAAACATGGAATTTGTTGAGGTTTATTGTTGTGATGGAGGCAGACCCTCTTTGTGTTTCACGCTGCCTGTCAGTTAACCAACGTGGCAATTTAATGCCACCCTTTACGAACTTTTACGAACATAACAATATCACGTGGAACATCTGGAAACACTTCTGTTGTGCGGAGGTTAGTGTGAGCTCCAGGCGTTGGTGGGTGCATCGTGTCGGTGAGGGTCAGAGATGCACAGCAGACGTGTGTGTGTGTGTGTGTGTGTGTGTGTGTGTACCTTCAGCAGCGGGTGTCCTTCGTACATGTGGAAGCGGCCCTGCATGCACACGCACGCCTTCCCTTTCAGCTCCCCGAAAACCAGTCGGCCTGCGTGACCCTGAACTGCATCACACAAACGCACACAAAAAGATTTTGTAACTCAACAAACAGCCTTTTTTTGTTCTTCTCTTTTACCGATTCATATTCGGATTCAGGGTGAGATAATTTATTTTTCGTAACGTGTGATTAATTGACACGTCAAATAGTCTTAAATGTCTATTCTTGCAAAGAAGTTATATCTCAATGTGAATTTAAAATTTGTAGGAATTTTAGACCAATAAATCTGTAAACTGACCTGTGAAATCTAAGAAAATCTGTTAAAAAAACAAAGATTTACTGAAAAACTTCTTTCATTACTGTGCCTCAGTTGCTTTAATGAAACGGGTCCTTCTGCATGAATAGTCGCATTATTCTGCTGAAACAGGCTTTAGGAAATACTGTTCACTGCTCTGTGTGGTGCACACTTAATAATTCTAAAGTCTGGTGCAAACCCATCAGAAAGTCCAGTCAAATAAACAAAACAGGTATTTGCACCAATCGGTCAGGTGGCAAATAACCATAAATTTTACCCAATTAAAAAAAAACCCAAAAAACAAGTGTGAGATGCGTATTTAACGGTGCGTACCTGTGCTCTGAGGGAAGCCGGGTATGTCAGCGTAAGCAAAGGAGTCCTGACATTTGAGAGTGTCAGCGAGCATGCCCAGTCCGGAGCCACAGATGATGGCCACCTGGGGGCGGTGCTTGGTCTGGGACATCAACCAGTCGGCTGTCTTCTGGTAATCCTCATGGCTGCCGAGGGGAAGAGGAAATGAAAGAGAGTGGGCTATCTTGTGTGAGAGGCTAAATGTCGTGGAGGCGCTGGATGCCATCATCCCTGGACGGGACCCCGGCCTCTGATGGAGGGTTGTAGCAACGCCACCATCACATCTCCACAGGTGTTTCAAACAACTGCACTTTTCTCTCAAAGGCTGATTCTAGCATTTTAATTGCATTCAAACAGGACAAAACTTTTTGAAATTCCGATCGACTGAATTATGTCTAAACTCTTTTTATTATGTTGTCTTATAAAGGTACTCAAAGAAACTGACCCACACAGTCAGGAGGATCCATTAAAACTACTAGAGTTGAATAATTCCCTCACGAGTTAGTTATTAGAGACAAAAAGTGGAGTTACTAGAGGGAATAAAGTTGGACAGTAGACAACAAATAATGACACCGACTTCTACGAAACAGTGACATCTTACAGAGCTTCTCTCATGACTTTTTGACATACACACACTATTCAGTTTGGATCAAATTGTTCTTTTTGACTCATTTGTATTGTTTACATCAGTTTCTTGTAACTCTACCTTGTATAGTTTTCTTTGTCCTCTCCTCTTACATTTATTTTTTGGTTTGTATAGCACCACAGGCCTAATTTTCCCGTGATTATCACGTGTGCTGCGCTGTAAAGTCTCAAAAACCTGATTCAGGTCAAGAACCCAACGAGTGGCATGAAGCGGATTAAAGGAGCAAAAGCAAATACTTTGTTTTACCCAATAAATGTACACTTTGAAGCATCTGAAACAAACAAATGAGCCCAATGTACAATGACAAGACCGGAAGGGTTAGCACACAATGATCTATTATATTTAGAAAAATGATTTATTACTGTCAGATTCAACACAAAAACAAAACAAAACAGCAAAACAAAATACTGTAAAAAAGAAAGTTCTGATGAATGTTCTTACCTGATATGATCTTTGCTGTGCATGATGGAGAGATGAGGATGACTGCTAGAAGATAAGAACCGGTGCGTGTTTGTGTGTTTGCGTGTGTGTGCTGGGCAAACAGCCTTATTTACTAGACGTGTGTAAGTGTGTGTTTGCGTGTGTGTGTGAGATGAGGAAGGCAAGTGAGGCTGGCTGGTGCCGATGAGCGTACATATTCGCTGATCACATGCCTCTGATTGGCCCACAGCTCCTCCATTCATCAGCGCCGGCCAATGGCATCGCGGTGTTGTAAATGTGTGTGAGAGAGTTTTTGCCCTTTCGGTTGTGTAACCAGCTTCTGGTTTTACATCACGCACACACTCGCAGTAGGTTGATTTAATTTCAGAATTAGCTCCTGAGCCCCGGCACACACACCAGCACGCTCAGACCTTCCCCTGTGAGTACAGTATGACACAAATTTAAAGATGCGTCCAGCGTCCAGCATCATTCTGCAGTGCTGACATCGCCTACTAGAGGCCAGAGTTTTACTCCATCCACAGTGAGGCCATGCAGACGTGTCCAGATGTGAGGTCGGAGTCCTCTTCTTGCGTAAAACAGTTTAAAAAGTTGCTGTCGGTCAGATGAAAACACAAGTTTTAAAAAAATTCTGCGACATTTTAAGTCTCCCAACGAGTTTTTGTGATATTTCTTAAGCGTGGTTTTTAACACACCGTGCTGATTTGATGATTTCTTTTAGGTGAGCCACAAAGAATTCAGCTCAAGTTCAAATACATTATGTTATTAAAAAGAATAAAGCATGGAAAATTTGGAAATGTATTAATTAAGATGACATATCTTAAAAATCGATGGATGCACATATGGATTACATATTAACATATGTATTCAAATACATTGAATGTCTTAGAGACATTTAAATACCCACAAGCTCGTTTGTATTTAAGAAATTGAATTCGTGATTAAGAAAATTGCTTTGTGGTTCATGCTTTGGAGCAGTTCTGGTCTCTGGTAGCCTCCAGCTGCCCAGCAAACCAAAATAAAGGTTCTCCAAACAACATGTTGAGTTCATTTCATTTAAAGGAGCAATTCAGAGAACTGAGTATTACCCTGTAGCTGACATATTTCAGACTTTTGGATGGAAAAGGATCCCATTTTCCAATACACAACAACTGAAAAACCATCATCACGATGAGGGAATTTATGCGTTTGATAAACCACATAAATGTCCCGATTATTCCAATGTCTGGTGAAGGAGGAAATCAAGAAGAAGTTCCCTTCAAGGTCCAATTTAGTGAAGGCATTGAGCTCTAAAGATCTACAGCAATTATGGGAAAAGTCAGAAATAAAAGGCTGGATGTCCTCTTTCTTCCAGAGTAACTTGTAGCTTTCATCAATGACCAGCTTCTCATTTCAAAGATTCCTCATGAAGATAGAAAATAGATGTTAAACCCCAACCAACAAGCAGGATCAGTTCTTCCAGTCGCATGCCTAAACAAATGAGCTGTCTCCTCAGTGTTTCAGGCAGAGCTGTGCAGATTGCAGATAGCATTGATGGCTAATGTCTGAGTTTAATTTAAAAAGTTATATAAAACTTTCCATTTAACTTTATTCTCCCACTTAGTGATGGATTCTTATTTTGATCATTGAGAAGTGCGGTGTGTGAATTCAGCTACGATGTGAAACTTGTTCATCCGGACCAGATCCGGGCCAGACCCAGGATGTTAGGAGACCTGGCGGCCTAACGAGCAGCAGCTAGTAACTCATGATCACTAACACACTTCACATGTTCCTCCAGTCCTGCTCTGATCAGCCGCTAATGAGGCTCATGTGAGTTAAATGGACGCAGACCAGAGATGAACTGGTACCATCGGGCATCAGAGCGTCCAGGTGATTTTTGAACTCTTTCCTCTTTGCCAAACTCCAAGCACCTCGTTCTTCAACGTTAGAAGCATAAACAGAAAGTGAATCTTTAAGCTCAGTTACACAGAAAATGAACTTCCAAACATAAAGAGGAGACAAACTCAGCCACATCTGAGAACCACACGTTTTCACATGACTGTCTGAAAATAAATCTTCCTATTCTGTCTGTCCCTGTCCTCAGCCTGTTTCTTTTTTTTTTTTTAAACGCCGTGTGGGTGTGCACGTGTTATTTAACAGGAGTCCGGTGGACGCTGATTAACAGGTTAACGAAGGGAGCAAAGCTGGTGGTTAGACACAAAGCCAGATGACACTAAGTTTTTTTAGGTAAATTGTGAAAAAAAAAGTGTTAATGTTACCAAAAAATATGATAAAATCTTTTTTTTTGTTTTTAGTCTCCAACAAGCATGATGATTTTATCTTATATGTCAGTATGTGTCTGACTACAATGGAAAAGAAACAGAAAGCCAAGAAAACAATTAAACAGATGTATTTTTCATGTCATATAAACTAAACTTGAAATAACTGTTTTTAAATGTCATTTTCTATTTTGCTGAATTGATTTATTTATACATACATTTTCTCTTCTGCATGAGAATGGTGGGTTCTGCTGTTCAGACATTAAACTGGTAATTTATTCATTAAATTGTCTTCATGCTGGGAAAGCTCCCAGTATTGAACCTCTGATAGGATGCAATGAAGATACAGGTCAAAACAATCCAGTTAGAATGAAAACAAGTGGAATATGTATTGAATCCAAACTAAAACAAAAATCCATCTCACTCCAGCGGTACTTTTTATATTTGAAGTTGAATCCAAAAAATAAATGTTGAGGCAAGTATTTTTACAGTCAGACTCATTTATGAAGACAAATCTGTGAACATGGAGATTCGTCCTGTTGGATGAAGTGTTAAGATGGGAACGTTTTTTTTTAGGTGTGGAGTTGGATTTTTTCTGGAGATTTGCTCCTTTCTCTCAGCCTGAGGTTTCATCTGGCAAATTTATATAATTTGGCTCTTAACTTCTATCACATGATGGATTTACTGATACATTCCCCTTTTGTTGTCCTTTTTTTGCTCTGTGTTTGGGATTTGACTGCTGCCCAGCTTTTAATGGTCAGCTGAACGCTCAGCATTACGCCCATCCTTCACTTCAGTCGAAATGTGAAAAATGTGACCCCGTTCATTAAAACGTCATTCAGATAGCTGGCATTCCGGGACCTATGTGACAGATAGGAGTAGCTCCTGGCGTTTTCATTCCTGCTGTATTAGCAGCGAGGCCCAAAAATGTCTGAGGGCTTTGTTTTGTTTTCGGGCCATTTTCGACATGCTGCTCAATTTGAAGTACAGCCTGAAATGGGGTGCAGAGTCCTGCTTGTGCCCAGATAAATGCGAGGGTCATGTCGGGAAAATCGGGTGTATAAACTCCAGCTAAACCGGTTGTGTGAGTCAAGGTTGTCGTAACATGGCGACACCTGAGAGACTCCAACCAGCAGAAGGCAAAAAAAAAGAGCATCTCAACCTGGAATAAGCAGAATGATCCGGTAAACTTTCAGGGACTGCGATAAAGAGCAAAGCGCAGAGTCAAAACCTCCATTTAAAGGTGTAAAAAAAAAACAATGATACTGTTAGATTGACCCTGCGTTGAGCTGTCAGCATACCCATTTAAAACTGTGCGTCTTTCTATAAACACAACACAGTTTGTCAAATATGGATGGAGTCTGAGAACAGTCCTCATTCGGTGTAAAGTGATGCAGATTTTCTTCTGGATTACATACTGGGAGACGATAATGAAAAGGGATAAACTGTCGGCAGGAAGGGGCCATTGTCATTTCCTATTTTTGTAGGATTAAGTCTTTCCAGATTTGAAATTCTTTGCCAAAATGAGCCACATAGGCAGAAACCGTCATTAGCGAGAGGGACACACGGTAATTATGTGATTTAACGTTCACGTGCCTCCATGTGTGTTTGCATTCCTCTCGAGTTTCCTTAACGCGCAGCATGTTGTTGGAGATTTGATTTAGAAGATCTAACTGAAAACAAACGTGCAGGGAATGGAGATCATGGGCCCGTAATACAATGATGGTGTGTGTGGAGGTAAAGCAGTAAAATGTAAAAACGTTATCTACAGTTCATCCAACCGGCCCTGGCCAGTGTGCAGGAGTGTGATGTGCTCAGCTAACGCTAATCAGAAAGATGCTGCCTGGACCATGTGCTTGTGCGTCTGGTTGGAGACACACGCGAACAGGCAGCACATGCACACTGGTGATCTTTTGTTTACATTACATACTGTACACACAAAGTCATTATATCAACGTTCTTATGCGCAGTGTGTCGAAAGCCTTGGTGGTTTCCTATTCAAAAAGCAAAACCACCTAAAACCCCATATCCTGAAAGCCTGGATCATTTTCAGGAATTATGTGATCATGACTTGTTCACCAGAGGTTTTGATGAGAATCTGGATCTACGTCTGAGGTTATATATGCAGATTATTTGTCCACTCATAAGAATGAACACAATGTTAGCATTTGATTTTGAAAAACACACAAATAAAACATCCATTCACCCATTGAGTCTACGACAGTCCAAACACAAGTACAATGAACCCCCCCCACACACACACACAAAAAGTCATTAGAATTCTGTAAATCATGCAGTTTAATACATTGTTTGAACATTATAAATCAAGATGTCACAGGCTGCACAATCTTAATTTCCTGTCCTAATTCTTGATCATAATCCCTGTTGGAATGATTTAAAACAAGCTGTGGCCACAGGGAAGCATGGGATGGGTTATCTTTTTTTTCCATACAGAAAGGTCCAGTCCTCCTTTCCAAACAGGTAAAAAAAAGAAAGAAATAGAAATGTCTAATTATTTAGAGATCCATCTTGTGGAAAAGAAAAGAAATTACTTCTGAACCTCTGAAATCTACCAGCTGAGAGGTTTTGGAGCAGTGAATTTAACACGTTTCTGGCATAAAAAGTTATTTTATAGAAAATAAATGAAATTCCACAAAACAACAGCTACACAACTTTTACAAACTGTGTTTGAGGGACCTGAAACGAGGACTCTAACATAAAAACCAAAGCTTTGTAGAGCGTGAGAGGGAGACGTTGACACTGTGGCCGACAGCATAAAAGCTGGAAACAGCTGACCTCTGTCTGGAGATAACTAAGTCTACCTCCAACGCTCCCTAATTAACAACCTTTCTCTTGTTAATTTCCTGCACAAGTGTAAGCATTGTGGTTTACG